AATATTTTGAAAAAGAAACCTTTAATGAACCTTTGGTGAACGTGTTCAGAACTCGAATTTCTTCACATGCAATGAGTATAAATAGTTAAGCAATTCAATCCCTTTAGAAATGCTGGCTTATTGTTACGAGAAAAGAGGAACATTACGATATGGATTGATTTGGACTGAGATGCTGATGATAAGCATCTGGACTAAGCAGATAAGCGAGATGTTAAAGCAACGAATACGTGGGAGGAACCTATGAATAAAGTACGCCGTGGCAAATTTCCCCCATTCAGATCAAAAAAGCAAGCAAATAAAACTTTCTGAATCCAGTTTTTCGTTATGCATGGGAGTTTTATGAAATGCGACACAGAGCGGCTTGAGCAGTATATGATCAAAAGCAGTGCAATTGCACCAAAATGTAAAATAAAAGTTTATCGCATCAATTCTTTGTTTTTGAATACAAATGAAATTTTATCATGCGATTTTCTTCAATTCGTTAAAATAATGCGTACTATGTTCTCATAATTCGATTTTCATGAAAATTAGTCGGTTTTCCCAGAAACAAAATTGAAGAAAGGGAAAAACCAGGTGCACATTCATGGCTCGTCATGGAGCTGACGGCTGATAAAAAAAATTAACAATGGTTGACGGAAACGTAACGGGAAATACGTATTCAAAAATGTCGCGATGCTTGTAAGATGGTATATAAGCAGAATAGTCGAGTCAGATGCAAGTCGAGTCAGTTGAATCCGTCCGAATCCGACGTCAGCCGTAAGCGAGTTTTAAAGGAGTCAAAGAGTTAGTCAAAAAGGAAATTGAAGTCAACAATGTTGTACAAATAAGTGAATTGTGAATACTGCTTCCAAAAATTGTAAATAAAATCTATGCTGTACACGATCTAGCGAACCTTGTCAAGAAATACAATAAAGACCATTTTATAACATTATTATATATTACCTTGGCGATAGCAAATGTGCCATCTAACCTAAGAAGAGAAAAAAGTCGCAATCAAATGGAGAAGTTTATCTTAGACTAAAATGCATTTCACCTTTTTCCTTTATTTAAAAAAAAAAAAAAAGAGGAAAAATATTCAAAAATTTACGCAAATCCTTATGAATGTTAATTTAAAAAAGTATCAAAAAAAGCAAAGAGGAAACTTTTAATAACACGGTGAAATGTGTTCACATTCGTTGAGTAGAAATTTCCAAAAGTTGCAATGTTTGTAGAAATGATGAGTTATATTGTATGATTTACTTTCAATGCGATTCAGGTGAAGCATGTTTAATTTTAATGAGTGTATAATCGGCCGAGCTGAGTAAGCAAGGAAATGTTAGCTCAACAATTGGAGAAAAGAAACCTATTAATAAAGTATGTGATGCATTTCCCCATTTTATACCAAAAACGCATGCGAACAAAAATCGCATTTGTGTTCAAAAACGCATGCGAATAAAATCGCATCTGTATTTTTCTAAAAAGAAAGAAAAACAACGTTCACCACTATCGACTTGCAATTTGAAACTGCAATCGAATCGACTAAATCACGTTATAAAGCAGATTATTATCCCGGGAAATCAAAGGGGACCAAAATCTAAAAAAAAAACATTATATCATCAATTTTTTTCTCAAATAGAAATGAAATTTTGTCATTTGCTTATCATCAAATCGTTGAAACCGTTGGGGTATAAGTAACATACTATGCGAGGTATTTTCATAAAATAAGTGAATTTTCAAATTTCGTGTGCTACGTATATTCGAATTTCGAATTTTGCGTTGCCACAAGTGTAAATTATATCTAAGAAAGATCACCGTGAAGAGGACAAAACAAACACTGATGAATAAATAAACGTTTTTCGGGAAAAATAAAAAGTCACTTTTTGTTTTAGAGCACACCTCGTATATATATAAATACGGTTTAAATTAACGAAACAAAAAATTTCCCCATAAGAGGTAAATTAAATTGAAACTTAATGAAAGTGGTGGTCATATTTCTCTTTAGGTCTTAAGAAAATGTTTGTTATGCACACACGTACTGTATCGAACGATCTGGGCGTAGAAGCCGTGCACACGTGTATTTATCACGTTTTAAAAAAGTCGTTTTGTAGCAATGTGTTTTGGTTGATAAATTTGTTTGGAATTTTTTTTATTATTCATCGATTTTCCTTTAATTTTTTTTTATGTTTATTACTTCCTTCTTTCGTTTTTCTAAATTCATAAAATGCAATGTGTAATATAACGATAAATGAAATATGTGAAAAGAAATATGAATATACCTTGAATGCATCGCTGCGTAATTGTAAAATTTTTGAATGACGTTAATACTAATTAAAAACAAATACAAAGTAAAAACAATATAACGAACCATCATTGTGTGTACTGCATCACTTCGCTGCTTAATGCAGTTATGCGACTTTTCATAATAATACATTATATAGAAAGTGATCCGATCTGAGTCGCATTTGCCGGCTTGGGTCGGTGACACCAAATTTGATCAGAAAAATTTCTTAAAAGTCGCCGCCTGTGGAGTGCAAGATGGACAGCGCATAGACGGACGGACAAGCGCTCATTATAATAAAAGGCGGATTTATTTCTCCTCCTTCTTAAATACCCTACAGCACCGTACTGCTATCCATATATTCACTTTTCAAGTTAAAGCTTTGTCGAGAAATTGGCCTGACCCGAATAACGTCCGTCCTTAGGCCAAAACATGTCGGTATATAAAATTTAATCAAAATATCTCGAAAATTTACGGGCTGAACACAAACAAGGAAAGACAGACAGATGGACAGACATTAAGTCATTTCCTCAATCGTGTATAATAAAAGGCGGATTTTTCTTCAGTCTTTGTAGGCGTTGTGTACATCCGTACAATCTTAATCTACACAACTTATACGATAAGTGGCGTACGGTATAATAAGTCAAGGTTTGCTAGAAAATTAAAGTTTCAGCTAACATTAAGATCTTATTTAATAGTTTCAAAATCGCTAAAATTGAGTTAGAAATGGAAAGCAGCTTTAAAATGTATGTGAACAGTTAATCAAGGTCCAACGTCAGAATTTTTTTTTTGAGTAACTTAAGATCGGTTAAAAATAGTACTAATAAATTTACTGGTAAGTCTACAGAAAATTACATGAATGGATTTTACTCAAGAATTTAACACAAGAGCTTCTACAAAACGTTGGAGAAACGAAAAGGTTCTACGACTTATTGGAGTGTTTCTAAGAACTTCAGCGAATAGAATTTTTCTTATGACTTGCACTAACGTGTATAAAATGTCCGACAACTCGTTCGCTTTAGGATATTCTAAAACATTCACGTTATGTTCAGTAGTTGGAGTTCACTCTAAGCGGCTACAAAAGCGTAGGTAATTAAGATTCGCTCAATAATTTTCTAAAAGGCCCATAAGATGTGAAGTAAATCAAGACTTGTTGCAACGTCTAAACACTGTTAGGTAAACAGGTTTCCTCTCAGGACTTACTGAAGCGTCATACCAGAACTTACTAAAGCGTTCTCCTAATATTAGGTAATTGGCATTCATCCCAAAACTTACTGCAGCGTCCGCAAAGGCTTGGGTAATTAAGATTCACTCGATTATTTTCTAAAAGGCCCATAAAATGTGAAGTAAATCTACACTTGCTGCAGTGTCTGTACACTGTTAGGTAAACAAATTTTCCCTCAGGACTTATTGAAGCGTCTAAAAAAAGCTGCGTAAACAGAACTTACTTAACCGTCTTCCTAATGCTTGTTACTTGGGATTCATTCCAAGACTTAGTGACCGTTTGCAAAAACTCTCACTCAATGATTATTTAAAAGTCTCATAAAATGCAAAGTAAACCAAGACTTGCTATTCACGGTTAGGTAAACAGGTTTCCTCTCAGAACTTACTGAAGCAACTACAAAAAGCTGCATGAATAGAATTCACACTGGAACTTATTGGAGCGCCCATAAAAAGTATTAAGTAAATTACAATTAATTGGCGCGTTTACGCATAGGACTTACCGAAGCATTTAAAAAAAATAGGATTTAACCCCAAGACTTATTGAAGCGAAGCGTCTAGAAATAGAGTTCATCGCCAGCACTTTCATGGATTCGCGTGTACAGTGAAGTAATGACATAAAAAACTTGATTTATGATATAAAGGAGTAGGATAAGCAATTTTAAATTCCGTAAACACTTTTGACATAATTTTTTTTTTTTTTTTTAACTAACATCGACTAACATTGTTACAATAAGGAAAGGTAAACGCTATACAGTATATATGCGCCTGAGCATTGAATCGCTTTAAGTGTAAAATTTTTCCTGTTACACAAAAGTTAATTAACATAAGAATGCATGCATGTGTATGTGTGTATGTGTGTGTTTGCGTGTTTATGTGTGTGTGTGTGTGTTTAATCCTTTGAAAAACATAATTTAGAACACATCGCGGATACCACATGCACTGGTTCAGTTATTCTGTTTGCTGCTATTTACCCAGCAACCAAAAACCGAGAAACCCTTCTAAAATGATTTTCAACTAAATTTTCAACTGAAATTTATTGTGTTTTGATTCCTTTTACTCTAGGAAAGCAATAACGTAACTGACGTAACGTCAAAAATTACGACATTCTTAAAATAACATAATTATTATTATAATTTTTTCTATTTTTTTTTTTTTTTTTTTTTTTAATAAACATACACATACATATACATACGTATATATATATATACAATCACATACATCTAAACACATACACTTCGTAATTAAATAAAATGGTTATGAAGACGAATTTTTTTTTTTTTTTTTTTTTTTTTAATTTTGTACACAAGCACTGCAAGTAAATATGTTGCAGCAACGCGTTGTCAGGACAACCAACCATCACTTTGGTTAATGAATAACATGTAGAGAGGGAGACGGAAATAGCCTACAATGTTGTAATGAAATTATGAATTTTGTATACATGTGTGTGCGCGTGTATATATGAGACATACACATATAGAGAAACGGCAATACATAGAAGCATAGAAATATTATGGTTTACCTGTTCAGACGCCCGTTGCTGTTGTTTGCTATTATCCGAAGCATCTGAAGCAATCTCTGTGTTTTCATCATTATCCTTTGACGATGACGATGACGATGACGACGACGATGTCAACGTAGCATCTCGTCGAGAGTTATCAAAGCTTAGGGCACCAATTGAAAAGAAATTATCCAACCATTGCTTATCATCCTCACTTAGTTCGGATGCAACTGATGTCGATGACGTTTCTATTTCTTCAAGTGAAATTTCGCGTGGCAACGTCGTAGTGGTCTCCATTTCACTTGATGATTCGGTGGAAGTGACTTTATCACTTTCATCGTAACTCTTTTCAACGCTAGCAGATGTTGTCGTAGTAAGAGTTGAATGATAACGGCTTGGATCACGTTTCGAACTAATGGCAGAAGGGAAAATTTGATCTTCTAATCTCTTTATCTCATCGTTGGAGAGTTCATTACGCGAACCTCCATTAAAAACAGTACTCTTAACATACTTATCATTGATATTATTGGCCCGATTAAACGAATTATCGGCAATATCCGTTCCCGTTGATGACGTACAATTCGTGTACTGTAGTTCACGAACTTTATCACCCCATTGCGTGCGTAACCATGGTTTTTCCAATATAACTAAACGACATACAATGTCCTCATCATTGTCCTCCGTATTTATAGCGTTCAACAGTATTTCATATCTGACACCGTTAACTATTTCACGGTAAGCATCGATAATGTTAATGAAATTCATTGTTAATGGTAAAAATGTCATAGCAATATTTTGTAGGCCAATCAGATTCGGTGAAAGATATTCACGTTCGCCCGGTTGCAATACATGAACGACTTTAATGGGTTTTTCCGATACGGGTTGGCCATCATCATTTTCATTATGATTCTATATGAGGCGCTGCCACCGAAGTTATCAATAAATTTTTTCGTTTTGTTTGTAAACAAAATTGTTTTTTTTTTTTTTTTTTTTTTTTTTTTTTTTTTTTTTTTTTTTTTT